ATAAACTCAGTTTTTGATGGGCTTTCGAATGGTGTATGAATTATTTGTGTTGTTATTACAAGTGTTGCTGTGACCCCCTAGGAAAAGGTTATGCCCCACCCTGTATACTATACTAAGCTGACATCACTTAAAAAAGCCAAGAGCTGGAATTTTTATCACATTTTTTTCAAATTTGAGGAATAAAGGAATTTAGTAAAAGAAGTGTGTTAAGTCTATTGAAAGCTAAGAATATGTGTTTTAATGTGTTTTTATTTTGTTTTTAATTATTTTGAACCAGTTGCCACAAATTCAGCAACTTGTGGCAACTAGTTCAAAATATCTAACAAAAATAATGTTGGATGGAAAGTTATCAAAAAAATAAAAATAAAATAGAATATCCTCTTGGATCAAGTGTTGTCTGTATATATGTCTGATATGAATAACCAAACAACATAGCAGGATCTTTGTATATAACTAAGTGCTCATTGATTAGCATCCAGTGCATTTATACAATCTGACATAATCCTCTTTTGTTTTCAGTCAACAGAATTTCTTAAGCAGAACATTGTGGTGTCCGGAGGGTTTGTCGGAGGCTTTTTGTTGGGTATTGCATCTTAAGGACATGACTTTCATCATTCTGCTGACTTAACCATGGTAAAGATGAATGACAGCAATGCACAGATCTTTTCTGTCCTCCCTGAATCTCTTCAGCAAGAAGGCTAGAGTTGCCAGATACATCGGAGCATTTTATGTCTTAGGCTTTACCTCCTTATGCTTACCTGAAGGATGTTTCCTGAAAATTCTGCTGTGCATTCAGTATCATTCCCAAAGAAAAGACTAATTCTCATAATGTTTTCATTTTCCTTTAGAGTTCATATTGAATATGTTATTTTTGTTCTGCACTTCTCATTTTAGGGTTTATGTTTATTATATAAAATTATCTCATACTGTGGTTAATAATGTTATGCCAAACATAACATAGGATATTGTACTTTAAGTGCAGGGCTAGCCGGCTTATTTTTGAAATCACAGCATAATAATAATTTGTACATGTATTCTTTTTTTTTTTTTTTGCAAAGATGAAATAACTATGAACCCATTAAAAAGTAAAATAACATTAGCAAATCTTGGGTGTTTTATATTTTAATTCTTTTCTCAATTTGGGATTATATTATGAATCTGCAAGCAACCTATATGAGATGCAAACCATAATCTTCTTGATCTTGGACTACAAAGTACAACTCATTCTTTCAGTGCTACAGTGTCATCACTGCATAATGGTATATTTGAGAAATTGAGTTAATAGATTAACTCAATTAGTACATGCAACTCAAAAAGTACATGCAATTATACTGATGAGGAAAAGAAGTTCATATTAAGAGAACAGTTTTATTACCCATATAAGTAAATACCAGAAGCATGCAAGCCTTTGAATACCAAGTCTCCTTTTCCAGATACAATGGCTAAAATATCCAGAAGGAAAAAGGAAGGGTGTGGGAAATAACAGAATAACAGAGTTGGAAGAGACCTTGGAGGTCTACCCCTGCTAAAGCAAGAGACCCTATTCCATTCCAAGTGGCTGTCCAGACTCTATTTAAAAGCCTCCAGTGATGGAGCACCCACAACTTTTGAAGGCAAGCCATTCCACTGGTTAATTGTTCCCACTATTAGGAAATTTATCCTTAATTCTATTTTGTTTCTCTCCTTGATTAATTTTTATCCATTGTTTTTTGTTTTGCCTTTTGGTGCTTTGGAAAATAGGTTGACCCCATCTTTGTGGCAGCCCCTCAAATATTGGAATACTGCTATCATGTCGCCCCTGGTCCTTCTTTTCACTAGACTAGACAAACCCAAATCCTGCAACTGTTCTTCATATTTTTGTGTCTCCAAGCCCTTAATAATTTTAGTGTCAACCCTGAAGCTGACCTAACCGGAGCCATATTGGAGCTTCACTGTTGCCACACTGGAGTTGAGGGAGAGGGAGGGGGGATTAGAGATACAGGGATTTGTGTAGTCAAAGTTCTTTCTCTTGAGAACCAAGGACATTCTCACACCTGGACGGTGGAAGGAGGAGTGAGGTCACCAGATAACCAGACAGCATCTTGATTGGACCATGTGACTGATTGTTTGGGGTTGTGGAAAAACTTTAACTAGGTGAAAAACCATGGGAACCTTTAGAGTCGGTTGCCTTTCTTTGCACTTTTTCCAAAGTCTCAACATCTTTTTTATAATATGACCAAAACTAGATGCAGCATGCCATGCCTGGTTTTACAAAGTATATTTTTTAACCTCCAGCCCTTAATCATCTTTGTTGCTCTTTTCTGCCCTCTTTCAGAGTCTACATATTATTAAAATGGTGACCAAAACTGGATGCAGTATTCTAAGTATGATCTTAATCGTGACCCGTCAAAAGGGCAAATGACAAAACCGCGCCCGACTAAACCGCGTCGCTGACGTCATCAACGTGGCGACAACAGCCAGCGTGGAGAAAGAAGGGCACTTTAAATAGCGTGTTGAAAGAAAGCCGATTCAACTTAAGGTAAGGGTTAGGTTTAGAGTTAGCTTTAGGGTTAGGGTTAGGTTAAGGGTTAGGGTTAGGTTTAGGGTTAGGTTAAGGGTTAGGGTTAGGTTTAGGGCTTGGTTAAGGGTTAGGATTAGGTTTAGCGTTAGGTTAAGGGTTAGGGTTAGGTTAAAGGTTAGATTTAGGATTAGGTTTAGGGGGGTTAGGTTTAGGTTTAGGGGTTAAGTTTAGGTTTATGGTTTACAGCGTGCTTCTGTCTCAGTGACGCGATTTAGTCGAGCGCGGTTTTGTCCTTCGCCCTTTTGTCGGTGAACCGGTCTTAATACCGCTTTATAAAGCCTCCATAATACTTTACATGATCTTGATTCTGTCCTTCTGTTAATGCAACCTAGGATATCATTGGCTTTTTTTGGCTGCTGCTGCACACTGCTGGCTCATATTTAAGCGATTGTCTACTAGGACTCCCAAGATTCCTATCAGCCAGGTTTCACTTAATCTGTACCTGTACATTTAATTTTTCTTATCTGAGTGTAAAACCTTACTTTTCTCACTATTGAATTTCATTTTGCTAGAAAGGGCCCAGTGTTAAAGTCTGTCAAGATTCTTCTGTATCTTGAAGCTATCTGCTGGAGTGTTTGCTATTTCTGCCAGTTTGGTGTCGTTTACAAATTTGATAAGTTACCCTTCTATTCCCTCATTGCTGTTAAAACTCTGCACCATTTTACAGTGTTAAATAACATATGGTTAGATAATGTAAATTGGTTCCTACAAGGTACATGTTTTTAAGTTATTTCTGGGAATCTCCCTGCTTATTCCGAAAAGAAGAATCCAACAAATAACCAGAGTATGCCGCTTTTGGTAAGCATAAAATTCAACATTTAAAGTCAAAATTGTTGTCTTCCATATTAATATACAGGTATTTGAAAGAAAAGAAACCAGCTAGATTACCTTTTCCTGTCCAGGCATCCTCCAGACATGACTTTAAGAGTTCCCCAACCATAGCTATTGCTGAGAATTTTGTAAACTGAAAACCAGGCATGTAAAGGTTACTCAGATTATGGAAGGCTAGTGATCTTGGTTAATAGTGCTAGGAATAATTTAAGATGTATTAGAAGATACTAAAAAAAAAAAAAAAAAAAAAGATACTAAGGATATTAAGGATAAACAGGAAAATCTATAAAGGTCATTGAGGAAAAAAAATCCCTCCATTATTCCAGCTTTGTTAATATAGTTTCATGTCTTTTGACTTTGTTCCTTTTTATTGAATTGGATCTCACATACTGTTCATTCTTTTTTTTGTATATAAAGTTTTTTATTTTTTCATTTTCATAACATATAATCACGTGTATACTATTACATAGCTAACATCTTATTGTATTATAAATTGTTTACATCAATTCATCTTACCATCAACTCCCAAAAACAATTATTGGCTCTTCTGCTTTCCATACACCATATTTGTACCTTATCCATCACTTTATTCTCTCTCTCTCCTCTCCCTCCTTACCCCCTTTATTCCCTCTGTCACCTTTCTCTACTTCCCCTTCCTTTCTCCTTCTTCTCTCTCCCCTTTCCACTCCTCCTTTCTCTCCTCTCCCCCCTCTCCTATCCCTCTCTTCTTCCCTTACCTCTCTCCTCTACTTCACACACTTCATCTCCTTTACTTGGTGTATTTTGGCTTCTGAGCAAGCTCCATTTTATGTTGATGGTATTCATAATTCCTTTTCAATATATATATTTAATTTTAACATATCTTCCTCCTTTAAAAAAAAATAGAACAAAAACGTATACATATAGTCATTGTGCTTTTAACACACACCCCTCAAGCCTAATTTTGGCCGAGATGTAGACCTGGTTACAATTCCCAGATATTCTCATCATTAAATTTATATAATTATACATCCTTACATGCCCCCAATTTGTGATTCTGTCTTTAAATCTCAATAGTTTCCCATTGTAAGTATATTTCATGTTCCCTCTCCATTTTTTCATATCTTGGATTAGATCACCCTTAATTGTCTATAAATGGCAATCTTTACTGTTCAATATTCATTACAATTCCCTTAATCTACTATATAGAATAACAAGCGGTAAACATCTCACTTTGTTCATCATCTTAAAAGTTCTATATATGTCCATATTTCATATATTTCAACCCATGCTTAATTGTCCTATTGTCATATCAATCAATTAGCAACAGTTTAATTATCACGTATAAAAGTGAATCACAAGCCTCTGTTTTACAATCAGTTTCATATTTGTCCATATTCCGTATATTTAACCTTTATTTAATTATCTTTCCATTATCATATTTAACCACTTATCAACTCCATTTTATTGGCATATTTAGAAATAAACCCCTTATCTTAGTTTTATATTTTCCCATGTAACAATTTTTAGTTGTCTGATTTTTTCCTAGTAAGTCTTTTGTCCCAGTTCTCTGTTCCTGCCTTCTCCCTTTTCTTTGTTTTGACGCATCCACCCTCTTCAATTTTCCCCAAGCCACCGTCAAAAAGGTCATTTATATTTCTCTTTGTTGGGGCATAATCTCCAACTTCAATTTTCCTTATGCCACTGACAGCCTCCAAAACATCTTTTGTCTACTTATTATTCCTTTTGTTGGGACACATCCCCCTTTTACAAATTTTGCATACAGCCAAAATTTGGGTATGTTTCTTCTTCGCCTCCTGCTTTTCCAAGTTCTGATTTACGGCGTTTGGTTAATTAGAATTTCACACAGGCAAGATTAGGTTATCAGTTGTCAGTGAGGAGATAGTGCTGTTTTCTTGATCTTTCTTCCTTGTTGCATTCCATCTCTCACTAATTGGGATTGCTTAAGATATGTCAGTTAAAAGACACTCAGACGAAATAAATCTTCACGCTCCTAGACTCCTTTAAAAACACTATCTTTTCAAGTCAGAAGCCAAATTTAGAATTAGTATTTGAGTGGGTTTGTCACTTCTCTGCTTTCTCCCTTTCTGTCCGTATTGTTTCAAACAAACAGCTTTTTTTAAAAAAAAAATCCCGGTCTGACATCAATATTATTCATGCTTTCAAGATTCTTTGCCTTTTCCAAATTTGATTTATGGCTGTGGGTTAGATGAATTTTCTTACCTGTCTTTCATCTTTTCCCCACACTCCTGTTCATTTGCTTTGGCTGGAAGTTAGCTTCTTGTGCAGCATGTTGCCATGCTGCTGCCCCTATTCCGACTCAGAGAGCAAATCTCTGACCTGTGAGGGACATGTTGCCTCCCCCTGGGTCTGATGAGACGCTGCCCCTGAGAGCCCCCCCCCCATATCTGTCCAGCTGGAGAACTTCCTGTCGACTCCCTCACACTGTTCATTCTTAAACGCTTAAATTTTTGTTTCACCTTTCCATTGGGCCAACTTTTTTACTCTATCATGGCTTTTAACAGATAATTTCTTTTGGTGCATAATTGTTATTGGTGATTGTTCTGCCCCGGGCAATGCGGTTCTGCTCGGGCAGCCAGTTAACTCCACGCTTGGGAATATTTTTCAGATCAAGTTTATTATCAGGAATTCTTAATAACAAAACTTACAGTTCAGTGTTAAGATTCTTCTGACTATCCCTG